GGAGTTTGGGGATCAGATTCGCTGCTGCCCAAGGACCCCAAAACCCATTACATTGACAAGATCCCTGTTCTGATCGCCGATTGGATCGAGCTGGGCTCCACCTTGATTCCAGGCTTTCTCATCATTTTCAAGGTAGTAGTAACTAAGTAACGTCCGGGCCGCTTTGGGAGCAAGGATGAAGGGTTGATATAGCGAGGGAAAGCCCCCCTTCCTTGATGCTGGGCCACGGTTTTATGCTTTGTACCAGTCATATTTTGCTTTTGCGTCCATCCCGAGAATGCGGTCAGGATCTTGACTTTTGATGTTTCAGTAACCACTTGCTGTCTTCTGGAGGCAGTTTCTTCTCACTCACCCTACCTATAGTGATACTTCCCGCTATGTCAGCATCAGGTGATGGTTAGAACCTACCTAGTATCCACGGCTGCCGGGGATGAATGATATGCCCCGTGATCCCGGACGATCTCCATTCAGCGCGAATGTACGCAGTAAAGTATGGTTGGATGTAGTGATTATTACTTCACAGAGGCTCAGCAAATACCGCGCCGCAACAGATAACTCTGCCATTTCCACCTAGCCGCTGGTCAAATTCAGGAATAGCCTTTCCCCTCCTACTGACCATTCGCCGTTCCTATTCTGACAGGAGCCCCCAGAAAGTCAAACGACCAGATGTCACAACACGCGCGCGCTGGTAGTGGAAGCTATAGTTAACAGGCCAAACAACCAGCAGCTCCGGAGTTCAGCTCGCAAAGGACGCTTTCAACCGGTTCTGTGCGGAACTGGAAGAAGATTGACGGGTCAGATAAATGGACGGCGGCAGATGACACACCAGTAACATGATTATTCTTATTATTATTACCTAGACAAGGCAAAAGTGATACCCCAGCAGCCTTCTTTTTGGATATCGTGGACTCTGCTCGGCAATACGATAATCCCGACTGCGCCTCGCAGCGTGGCTGTGCTGACGCAATCAGTCAATATCAATGTCACAACTGTCCTTGCTGTGGTCGATTTACTTGACTTTCTCTTTGGGTATCATGCATGAATATTTCCAAAATTTCACATTGTATGTAACTACCTGTTCTGAACAGTACTACTGAATATTAAATATTTCACCATCTGGCATCAACTCCCTCGAAAAAAAAAAAAAAAAAAAAAGATGCGGCACGCCTCTACAGTCTGTATGCTGGGCCCACAATGCATATTTTGTAACCATCAATTTTTAACCCCGAGAGTCCCAAGCTCAAGACGCGCGACATTTCGCCATCGTCGCGTCCGGGGCAAAACCGTCCAGAGCCCAATGACGCCATACTAGCTCTGATCTACACTATACTCGGACATCCGCGATGAGGAACCAGTGGTTTTCTCTGCAAGCGGGCGTTTTGAAACCTCTGCAGTGACAGCTTTTTTCTCGCGCCTCTTGGTGGCTTCCACCAAGAGTCCATATGGACCAGAACAAGGCAAACCTCGAAAAGTTGCATGCATATTTTGCGTGAGTCATCAAATGGTTATACCTGCAGTTTCAACGGGGGTTTCTTGTTTCATCGTCGCCCCGCCCAGTCCAGCCTTATTAGCCTGGCCCGGGCGCTTTTTCTCGCACATACCTAGTTACCATGTCTGTCTGTCTGTGCATGCAGCGAGGCCCGACCAAGCCCAGCTGAAAAGATGAACCCCAAACCCGCCACTTTTGTCAAGGCTGGACTAGAGGTTGATCTGCTTCGCTTTGTGAGGATAATTTGATAATTTTGCAACAACCTTGATCCGCGAGTTGTTGTTGTGCGTCAACGGGATCTACAGCCTGGTATTTGATAAGATAACGGCGCCCATTATCATTACATTCATGGACAGTCTGAAATGCCCTAGACGGTAATCTCTAAATCGGCTATCTTGACCGCCTCCCGCTGCGTTACGACGGGCCGAGAGCTGATTCCCACACCGGTGAAGTGGGCGCGGGGTGAGGGGCGCCATCGCTGCTTTCGTCGTTTGAATTCACATGTTCACTGCATGAGTCGCCAATATTGTCCACACAATAATGAGTACGAGCCATACTTTTTTTTTTTTCCCCTTTTTTCCCCGACTTGCTCATGACATCAAGTTTGTGCCGTCTACAAGTGACCGCTACTTTGCAGTTTTCAGAGGGATTATTCTTTTACCGCCTCTTCACCTTGCAGCCAGCTATCAAACCTTTCACCTCGCTGCTCACTGCTTGCTGCCCACTTAACAGATGACCTCCATTATTCTTGTTTTCAGTCATGCCAGGCCCTCGAAAAGGAAGATTTGTTTTATTGTGCCAATAAATATTATTAAGAATTACTTGGGCACAGATGTGAACTTGATACTCCGTACTCTCCGCCATGTTTACTGCGTATCCTAGGTGCCATCCTCATGCATGGAGGCGTGAAAAAAGGCCTTTAACTTCTTTAACTTTTATCACCTGTTGAAACAAGATGGAAACATTTAAGGCAGCAAAAATAAACAACACAAAATCTGAAGCAGCTCATCTGCAGGGCAACGTAACAAAAAATAAAAACTTATGCGAGGCGGGAAATCCGCTGTAACGTAAATAAAATGACGCACGAGTAACCACGAGCAACAACGCGCCTTTACGTAGTTTCAAATACTTTTTTTTTTTGGGGGGGGGGGTTGCTTTTGCACCTCTGACGCGACCTGTTCCATTTTTCAACCACTTTCACGGTTCGATTTTCCTTTCTCTTCAACCGGGCGAAAAAAAATCACCTGCGGGATGATATTAAAATGAACGTGAGATTCGGGGCTTTTTTATGAGACACACGAGAGCGCGTGACGCTTTTCTCTTTATGTTTCCGAACGTTGCCATTTTTCTTGATGCCGACGTCATCCCATCATTGCCGACAGACAAATGTCTCTTGACATAGGTATGCAAAGCGCGAGGTCGAGGAGACTGAAGTTATTTGTCGCGGTCCTTGGCTTCGCGGGAAAAATGTTGAACTATGTTTGCTCTCCGACGCGATAACTAAATATATCCCCATGTTTCTGTTTCAGGATCCCTGCATTCGCATCATTGATATGGAGATGTGAGGTTTGTCGTTTCTGCAGGCCAAAATAAAAATTTAAAAAAAAAGAAAAGAAAAAGAAAAAGAAAAGAAGAGAAATTCAGAAAGTCGCGATGAAGTTTCCATACCCTCAACCATACATATCAAGCAAGTTGCAGATTGGGTGGCAGAATCTTCCAAACAGCGCGTGTCGCAAAAGATTCGTTCGGGATTTATGATTTCCCTTTTCGCGTTTATACGAAATATCAACTATTTATCGTCTCGATTGATCAAGTTACTTGCAGGACGGTACTTTCGCGTATCCGTGATGTGTTAAGGTGCGGCATACCGTACCCTTAACCCCACACCCCATTGCGCTTGGTACGCGAGTCTGTTGTGCTTTGGGCCAACTCCAAATACCATATGAGAATGGAATGCTGGAACAGAAATGCCAACATCATGGTTTAGCAATCGTGGGAGAGAAAAACGGTACACATCCCGACCATGCATTTGGTGTTCAGCTGATATTCATATTCCGAAGGCCATCAAGTCCTCTTGCAAATTATGCACGGCAAGGCTACGTATCCCCATTCAAGTTGCCGATTTAATCGTATTTTCCATGATTTGGTAATTTCCTTTTAGAGTCGAATGTATTCCCAGTTTGGTACGGCATTTCCCACTCTAAATATGCGATATTCAGCCGTAATCCACTGCAAAGGCAAAGTGGAAAGGGAACACCGATGTCGATGAGTGTGGGTTAAAATAAGTCAGCCTTGCGAGAAAGATGGTCGTTCGGATTTACGCGACATCCTTTGGCTACTACTCTACATATTTTCTACATGCAGCCGGATGTTCTGCGCCTCGCCTGCTGGGCCATCCTACTGCGAAATACAGAGTACATGTTCGGCCGATTGAGGGCTCAGATACTCTATGTTAAACGTATGTCGTTGGACGATAAATGAGGGTGCAAGCAGGGGAAAACATAAAGCCAAAAACACGGTTGACAAGTAAGATTTGCCTATTCTGCCGATGCCATATCTAACCTGCGTCTCTGTCTGATGGAGGGAGCATAGAGGCGTTTTTCCTTTGTCACAGGAATGACAACGGATAGCTCTGAGTACGGAGTAGTTGCCGCAGTGTTGGTTCCGATGCATAGGCGGAAGCAGTTGTTGAAGTGGCCCTGAAGATTGTGCGACACGGATGTATGTACATACATGGTGTCAGCCTTGAAGCTATTCCTCTAGTTATGTCGAGGAAGGTGGCGGACGTGTTTGCATTGTCTGGTGGAATGTTCACAAGCTCCATAGTGTTTGTTCGATGGATTTTGCCGTGGTGTGGTGAACAAAGCAAGGGAAATAAATATGCAAATTGGAAACCAGAACTCATGTACAAAGAGAGACCGATCAGGGCGAGGAGAAGGAGAAATCCATGGGCCATGTACTCTGTACCCATGGTTGAATCGGGAAGAATGGATGGATGAAGTTCCTTTTGAAGTAGTTACCTAATGTCCATATAATGTTCTATTTATCTCAGCCATATCCCTCCCAGCTCTCTCAACCGGAGATTTCAGATAGATAGTGTCCTAATCCTCCTGCACAACCTATCACTATCTTACCTGCAGGCAATAGCGGACATATCAGCTGTATTTCTCTTACAATCGAACACGTGCATACCACCAGTAGCAGCATCATCAACACCAGAAATTTCGATCTCAATCGATCGAATATGGGGACCACCACCGCTCTTCTTTGTCACCATGTGCTAAGCGTCCGTTCGCCTACTAATCTACGCTGTACTTCCCCGGCTTGGGAACACCAACAAAACCCGCCCGCACGGGGGAAGAGGCTTAACCAACGTCATGTCTTGTCTCGTTGGTTGGTTCAGTGAGAGCATGCGTAACTACTCTATATAGACTCGAAGCAATCAGTCTTCATGAAAAGTGATCTCCAGAATCAATTCTCAAAAATATATAGTAGCCACCTGGGATAAAAAAAAAAAAAAAAAAAAAAAAAAAAATCAATCGCCAACATCATCCAATAATCAATCAATTGTGATAGTTCAACAAAATCTCATCATAATAAAGCATGTTGGAGTCTCTTATCATTGCTGTTCATTCAACTTGACTCAAGACCCCAAAAACAAGCCAATAGGGCCTTTGCTGTGCTAGTGCGAGCACTTCCTCTCCGCAAGTTGATCAGTGTCGTCGATCATAACCCCCCAGCCGATATCCACGCCCCATCTCAGGTCCTGGGAGAGCGTGGACTTTAAAAGCTCCGTCTGTGGTCAACCATAGGGTTAATTGGGAAATTGAGGTGTCTTTTCGAATTGGGAGATTTTATATTGTGAGAATATGGGGTGTCTGAAACGCGTATGAGCTATGACGTTTATAAATATTGCACAGATTGAGAAAATATATGCTACTTTTCATTATTGATGTCACCCTTAAAACGTGGCTTTTTGGCGAGTCAACTTTCCAGTTCCTGGGATATTTATGTTCCCACTCCACGACCACTCCCCGCATATTTGCTTTTTCTTATTTTGGAAGTTGCCCAAAACTGAGTGGATTGCGCGCCCAATAATGATCGCCGGAAGCTTGTTCCCCATCGTCCAAGATTTTCATTCCGCCTGACTAATATCATCAAATATATATCCCCGCAGCGGCCGGCCCATATCAAGGTAACTGGTGGAGTTCATATGAAATATGTATCGATGCCGAGATGATTTAGTATTGCAGGTTCCCACGTCGTTAGCATGCTTTTTAAGACTGCCGATGATATGACGACAGTCATGAGACTCCGTCTCTAGCTCAGGAAACAACGGGAAATGCCGAGCGCGGCTACGATGGTCGGAAGAATGAATTAGAGTTCCATGGGCATACAACTTTCCTGCTTGGAACAGGCTTGGAGTTGCGATAGTTCAAGAGGTTATATCAATCATGGGTCATCGGCCAGGGGCCAGGGCACCAGTAGCTTTCTTAGGGGAGCTGGGATGAGGTCCACAGGAATTCAAGTCAGCGTAGAAATGAGCATTGTCCTGCCGAGATAGACTGCGGGCGGTTCTTCCCGTTCGGATATCTTCACATGAAGCTGCTCAACGATTTTGTGTTGGTTTTTCAGAGACCGACTCCTAGGCATTATCCGAATAGCTGTAAAAGCCTTGGGTAAGTCCGCTCGGAGCATTTACATCTTTCTCACGCCTCCATCTCTCTCCTTAGTAGTCAATGAACTACCATTTGGTATGAAGTTATAAGAGAGCGGCTCAAGTTCCATTGAGCAAGTTCCTTTCCAGCCACTTAGGAAATCAATCCAAGCCCAAGCTCCAGGCCCAAAGAAGCTACCTAGCCTCGCAAACCAAAGCAAACCAAATATAAACTCGAAACGCAATAAGGAAGACAATATACGTTTCTTCATTCTCATCTCCCTCCTCCTTTTCACCGTTTTCGCTCTTGCCAACCCCGAACCTGCCCCTACCCCAGACCCGCAGCTAGGCGACATCAGCGAAAAACTTCGGGGCATCGGCGAAATTCTAACTGGCGAGTTTCCCAGACAAGTTCAATCCGCGATCCGCCATGTCGACGATTTGCTAGACGGTAAATCAACAAAGGTTACAAAGAACCTTCTCATGACAGCTGGACCCGCAACCACTCCTGCGCTCTTGAAGAAAGTCAGCGGCCTCCTAGACGATGGAAGCAAGCTTTTGGCTCCTGATTTCGTTAATCCGACCAAGAATTTGATCAAGAAAGCTAGCAAAGTAGGTGCATCATCGCCCTATCCCTTCCCAGCCCACCCACACATATGAACATATATACCCGGGGTCCTTATCGCTGACTCATCGAAATAGCTGCTTGATACTGTCGATGCTTTGTTCAAATCACTTGGGCTTTAAGCCTATCATTGAATAGAATCGACAAGTGACGAGAAACGGGGTTCACGGAACCGTGCGAGAAATCATAAAGGCCGAATATCAAGCGTCTATGTGCTCGTAAAATCCCCATTGCCGGTCCAGAATGATCAGAAAATTCGGGATGGCTTGAACACTTTGCATAGGTCCGGGATGAGGAGGTTGTGCGAAGGCCAGTTTGATATCGCATATATCTGCTGCTACTACTGTTAGATGATGATACCCACGAGCAGCTTGTGCCTAGCGAAATACACGTTTAATATAGTTTAGACACTCGCGCAAAATATTTAAGGAATTGAATATGTGACTTGACGGGTCTTAATTCCGACAGGAAATTTATCCCCAATCCCGTAAGGCTGGTTTGTCAATGTAACAATTCGCCTGCACCATCTGCCCCATTGATCGTTATTTCCCACCTTGCTCGATTGTTGCATTACTCCATCCCTCCGAAAGCAACCTTTTTTTTTGTTATTTTGACTTTTTGCAAAAACCTATGAATGTTCGATCCGATTTACGGACTGAAACTTTTTCAACTAGCCCATGAAGAAGCGCGTAAGCGTGTATTGAAATCTCTCTTATAGGCCAATTTTGTAGATTGAGAGATGGGCTGAGAGTTGTATCCGTGCGCCGTCAAACGATGTCGGGTTCCGGGTATACTGATGCATGTAACTCGATACAACCATCAGTTTGATGTACTTCGCGAGCGCCGTTGGATAAAATATTCACCACTCGGAGGCGCGAAGATGCAACATCTCCTGGGTATCACCTATACCGGAATTGTAACTGGCGCATCCCCCCTTCGGTATAGTGAGGCTCGATCTTGTCCATCCATTCTCCGACAATTGAAGTCAAAAAGACCAGTTAAGTTTTGCGCTCTCTTTCCTTCTTGATCTTCTCAAACACTCTCCGCTCCGTGTCCCTCTCTTCTGTCTTCCTCTTCATAAGCCTCTGTAAATTCTCTCTCTTCTCCTCTGCCTCCTTCATCCGCCTTTTCACCTCTTTCGCCATTTCTTCCTGGCCCTTGACAGCAGCTACGGAAGTCGGATACTCCTTTCGCAATGACTGCAACTGCGCGCGAATTTCGACAGCGTCAAGCGGAGTGCAGGTGATTGGGTGGTAACGATGCGCAGGGAGAGGGTCAGAAGGGACACGAATGTCGGGTAAAAGATGGTGAATTGGGGTCGTGCGTATTGCCGAATCAAGAGGAACAGGTTCTGCCGAATGTAACTGCCCTCCAGGCGATTGGGGCTCTGAAGGCGGTGATGGTGGTAGCCGGCCCATTATTGCGAGGTGTGCTGCTGGCGATGAATTTGTCCAGTTCAACTCTCGGGGGCCCTAGTAAGTAACTTCAGTGTGGTTGGTTGTCTTATACTGTAACTCAAGTGTTGAAAAGCCAGCACAGACAACTAAATAAGCACGTGATGATAACTCTAACACACTAAGCGGCGAGCTTGATAAGAGCATCATCAGGGCAAAATCCTATTCATCCAATCTTGGTAAAGCCAGATCAAAAGAAAGCATTCATTATTGTTAATTTTTGTCCAATATGAAGTGGTGCATATAGACAAACATCTACATGGAAATATAGGGAAGCAAGCACCTGACAAATCTGCTATGTGAAAGGACACATGCCCAAATTGGACAGGCTGCACACATCCCCTTCTGCTCCACAATGCAGGCCTTTGGTGAGCTGTTTCAATTCCCTCTTGTCCTGCACAGCTACCAGCCAGGATGAAGCCCTGGGAATACATGGTGTACTCGGCCAAAACGCTAACAAGCACTTTCACAGTCCCAAAAAACAGGCGGGTAATCATGTCTCCCCTCCCCTTGGATTGCAGAACACAGGCTCACCTATATTTTACCATCAACTTAGCCCAAGTTCGAATTTACATTGCGGGTATGTTCTACAAGCTTTAACATCTGAGCCTGTTGTAGGCGGGCCATCCAAACTGATTTATCTAGATAATTGACTTGAATAACATCCCGCTTGTCGTTGGGTCATCTTACACAAAATGGCACCTCCCGTCATCTACTTCAGCTGAGCATCGTGGGCAGACGGATAAAGCTGTCATCCAGGACCACCGAGCTTCGTGGGACTACAGAAAGGTTCTACCCATCAGACTTACTGTGGATCGGAATCAGATGCTCCACGAATGTGAAATCTGTTTCGAGATAATCCAAGAGTTTAGCACTGGAAGCCGCGGGGATAGGCAGCTGCTAGGCAACGTGCGACTTAACCTGGCCGAGTATGTTGAGAAGAATGAGGACGGCGAAGGAGTCACTAGGCGGTACTTGATGCAGGACAGCAAAATCAATGGTACCCTAAAGGTCGGGATTGTGATGCGTCAGGTCGAAGGCGAAACCAACTTTGTCACGTAAGTATCTATCTTTAGTTTTGAAGAAGGTATCTGAATGCATCACCGTACTGACTGTTTGTAGGCCCCCTCTCAAAACTGCCATGGTATTCGGTGGGATTGGCGGTTTTATATCCGCGGAGCAGGGCGACCTGCAAAATTCATCCTCTATTCCCTCTATTAATAGCCGAAGTCGCGAGGCTGGCGATTTGCAGGACATGTACCGCCGTACGCTAGCTGCCTCCTGGGCGTGTCGAGCTGGCGAACTCCCCCCTGACCGTTTGATCGAAGACATCTTCGCGGGAGGTGACGGCTGGGAATCAGGTGCCCCTAGTTTAAGACTAGACGATGATAATGAAGACATCACGTCGTTTAGTGATGCCCACTCCCGGCAGACAATTCGGGACGGTACGGTTGATAGGAGGTCCAAATCATCCTTCGGAGGCCATCGAAGAGGCCTTAGCAAGAGTAAAGAGAATCTCGAACTTTCCGGATACGAGATGCGCCCAAGGAAAGGGAAAGCCAGGGAAGTCTCTGAGTTTGACCTTCGTGAAGACCTGAGGAGCTGGGAAATTTCTACGCCCCAGTGATTCGCGGCCCAGTATCCCCGGAATATCGCGACTTTTACGGCAGGAATATATACTGTGCACGATTAGTGGAGCAGAAATTTAGTCGGGTGCCGAACTGGCTCTTTATAACGTTCTATATAAATATATAATATACGATTAAGGTAAGACCGTCCTCCTATACAGCACGTCCTTGGTACCTATCTGAGATTGATAGCAGATCGCTTATCAGCATTACTGTAACATTATGGTGATCGACATATCTTGATGTAACTCGTCCTGCTTGATTCAACGCGTACATTTTTACAATCCTTGTGCTTTCATGGTCACCTGGTCAACCATGCAGAAATTTATCAGCGAGAGAAACACTTTTATATGTTACGATTAATCATCCTCGTGATGTCTATACTATATATTTAATTTAATTCAATAATGCTCTGGTTCACGACAGTGGTTTTCGGCCTCCAATTTGGCTCCATGGATCCCAGTAAATCTTCCAACGTTACGGAGTAGTATGGCACTAAGTGCGGCTAATCACGTGGGAACTTTCCTTCCTTCCCGAAAAAGTTTGGCATCCGTCAGAGGAGAGATCCCAACTTTTATTTTTTTAAATTATGCCCTGAACGGAAACACAGGGCCGTTCGTCCTGTGGTCCCATCATTACGGATGTTTAAGACGTCGTCGCAAAATGCGGCGGCCTGTCTTCGATGCCAATTTGGCCCTCCGCGTTCTCCAAAGGCCCTGACGACTATCCTCCTATCCCAAGCATTTGGCCTCCGTCAAAACCGATATAATAGCACAACACTCCCAAACCAACCTGGCGAAACAGACCCTAAACTATACCCGGTATTGGGCGTCAAGAAATCGCGCTACCAAAGACATGTTGCCCGTTTGGATGTGAAGACGCTGGGAGAGGTCGGTGAGGTTGTGATACTCAAGGAGAGAGCCAGTCGACCAAAGCAGATGACCGTTCGCAAGTTTTCAAGGATACTAGAAAAGGAAACTGATGGTGATGCTCCTTGGGATAATCCGTCTGAGCTCCTGAAAGAGGTCGATAAAACAAGACTGCAATTAGGAGGCGCCAAAGAGGTGATTGAAAATATTGAGCAAATCCGGGGGAACCGCAAACCTGGAGACAAGCTAGACCGAAATGAATGGCGCAAGCTACGGAAAATATTAGAAGATGGGTTTACAGCTAATCAGCTAACTGATTATCGCAAACAATTCGAACCACCTGCGAGTATCTCTGACCAAAAGGACATCTCGGCCACACCGCATTCCGGATGGAGGCCTGGGACATCACTTTTTCTGGAAATGGACCCCGAAGCCCAGAAGCAGACAGCATCCAGGATCGGGAGTCTCGGACATATGGCTGGAAAAATTGCTTTAGCGGAGATGGTATTACGAGACTGCTGGCAGCTATCCGTTTTGGGTGAGATCGGTCAATTGGACATCCATCTGGCGCCCCAAGAAATTTTCATGCTCCTATTGCCTGATATTAGCCCTCTCAAAGATCTTGCAATCACATATGGCGCCAAGATAGATGTTTCGCGATCTTTAAACCTTGTGAGAATTACCGCAAACGAAAGTGCCTGTGAGCTTGTTCGACAGGGTGTCATGGAGTTTTTCCCTAGGATAATCTCCAAAACTGTGGACCTACCCAGCAGAGGCTTTGTATTCCATGGAAAGAACAGAAGATTCGAGGAGCGATTTTTCCGTTCCATGCAAAAGTCTCTCAATGTATTTTGCTGTAAAGAGCAAGGGACAAACCAAATAAATATCTATTTCGTTCAGGAGATGGAGAAAGACGCAGAGGAGGCATACAGGAATATCGAAACCGCAGTATCAATGACGGAAGAAGACCAAACCCGGTTCTGCACATATTTGTCGGACACTGAGCCGGCAGTTATGTACTCCGTTTCCTACCAGGAATTCCTACCTTGGGCTGATCGCCAGAGACGATGGCTAAGATGGATGAAACCGCTTTCTGGGACAAAAACTCCAAGTGGTACTCAATCAGAACCACCCCCAGCTCTCGTCCAGAAAGGTCGTGGATCAGTTTGCGAGAAAGTGTGCAATGAGTTGTTTACTCCACCAGCTTCATCCAGCTGGCGCAGCCCTGGCCAGCCCCACATTCGCGAGGTCGTTGTCGCTTCCCTCGGAAAATCGCTGTTTGCGCACCAACAATCAATGAAACCCGGAAAGATGAAATTTAAATCTTTCAGTCCTACGGTCCCTCGAGCTTTTGCTGCCAACATCTCCAATCCCATATCGTTCCTCCAACGTCTCTCTCCGTTACCGAACGTGGGAAATGGTACCTTTCACCGAATTCGACTCAAACCATCAGCTAAAAACAAGACGCGCCTCCCGCCTATTGAATTAGAACTCGACGTCGTACTCCGATATGCTGGTAAACGTCAATTCCTGGTACCAATTCTACGAAAAGCCACTGCCATCGTCCATAGAGCGGACATAGACGTGTTACTGCCGGAAACGTCGCTAGACCTCCGCTTTAATAAATTCACACACTATGACCTTCTGGAAGGCCGGAAAGCATCCGCTTTGTCACAAGCCGAGAAGCAGAGGGCTGATATCTCCAGCATTTCAGAAGTTATCCAAAATATGGTCTCGGAAGATGTTTACATGCAGCCGCGTATGCCCATGTCCTGCGAGCTGACGATCCCACGCAAACTGATCGCTAAACGATCATCCGTCGCGGCGACAGCAGGTTCGCATGGCAGCGGGAAAGGAGAGGCAGATTTCGTTACAGGGACATATATGCTTCCTCCCATACGCTACCTCAGATCAGCTCGAATTTCGCGCTTCAACTACAAGGATCTCGAGCTCAGTTACTCACACGTGAACATGGGTCCTGCCTTACCTGAACATGTGATCGATATGTCCATTTCTCTGGGTCGTGATGACAATGAACTACGGCCGGAGCTTTGCCAACCAAATACCCATCTCTCCTCCGCTGTCGCGAAGGGTCAATCTGAGGGATCGCTTCAGGCCGCGTTCGAACAATTCTATGCCCAAGCTTGCGAGATGGCTTTTGAACAGAGCGCTGCTGCGGCGAATTATAAGGGAAAGGTAGAAGTCGGGGACGAAGACGGCTTGGCAGACGTCACAACTGTCATTGAAGAGGATTATAAGCCAGACTTCAATCTTGACCCTGAGGACATGTTTCGTCAGTGGGTGGAACAAGGCTCACAAGGGGAGTCTGAGCGTAGATTTAATAGCAAGGTCCGGAACGGCTTGGAATAAAGTGATGTATACTTTGGCGCTTTCGATTTCTTAATCCCCCTGTACATTTAGTGTTTTTTACTTCGTTATAGATCATATTGTATTCCTTTTTGTGTAGGTTGCATTGTCTTCTGTGATCTTGGTGTTTAGGGTGGGTTGGTTGCTAGCGATGTTTACCTATCTATCTATCTATGCTGGGCGAAAT